AAATTTATCCACTAGGCCACCACAGCTACCTCTAGTTCCCTTAGACCCTTAAAAATCTAACTTAACACATTCTAACATCAAACAATAAAACAGCACAGTGGTTGTAAAATGGACTCAGAGAAAAAGTTTTAAGGCTGGCATGAATCCAAGCAGTTTTTTGTTGTGATGGACACAGGCAGAGCCCAAAACTCAACAGCACCTAACAACAGCAAAACTCAAATCAAATGAGCTCCCACAGTCAGCTCCCACTCACGTGGGTCCCACATGTGACACACTACAAAGCAAAACCACACTCCAAAGGACTTTCAATGGTTGCTTTTTCAGATGTAGACTGAGAGGACTTTGTTCCAAGGCATGTCTGAGTAGACTTGAACCTCTAACCTTTCAGTAACAGCCAAGCACATTAACTACACCACTCGGGGTTTCCAACTTAACATAAAGAGATCAGTAAATCTGAAATATTCATACAATAAGACAAGCTCATTAGTTCTGTGATTATATAAACTTTCTGGTATGAAAATTTTATTTACAAGAAAACTGTAACTTTAATCCGAGGAAAATAGAGCACATGAAAATTAAATTCTCTTTCCAACCTACAATTGTTCTTATTTCCTAGTTACTAGAGCATATTATCTTTAAGTTGGAGGTCTCCAAACTAGCATTCTCCCACTTGGTCTTGAAAACGTAAATAATATATGCAAGAAAATTAACTCAATCACACTATACACAAATATTACCTCAGAATAGGCCACATATCAAAACATGAGTGCTCAAATGAAAAAACTTTGGAAAAACAAAGCAGAAGATCTGTATGACCTTAGATTAGGTAAAGATTTCTTAGGTATGTAAATTATACCACTATAAACCTATTAGAATATCTAATGTTAAAATAAACTCAAGAAACTAACCATACTTAGTGTTTATGAAGATGCAAAGCAATCCGAAATCTTTATACAGGGTTGATGGAACCAATCTAAAATATAGTTTACCTTTTCATTTTTAAATTAAACATATATATTCCATATGAAACAGCAATTCCTCTCTTGAATGCAAGGATATGGCCATAAAAAAATTTACACACAAATACTTAGAAGAGCTTAATCCTTAATAGTAAAAGAACTAGAAAAAATACAAATGTCCACAACAAATAAACAGAAAAATAAACTGTGACATATCCATACAAAAGAATGTTGTTACTGTCAGGTCCCATCAAGTCCAAAACAACTCACAGAGAACTAGGAACATTTTAGAACCATAACCTAACCTGTACTATCCCTATGATCTTCATAAGCCATCTCCGTTGCATCTAAAACCGGATCTGTGCTATTTTGTAACTGGCAATGGGAGCCATATTTAGGGACTGAGTATCTCCCAGTGCCTGTGGAATGAGTTGTGCTGCCAGCCACTGGATTAGTGGGGATACTACCTCCGATTGGGATCCTTGTCTTCGTACTGGACATCCTCACAGATTTTGTATATACAACATCCGTATCTGGAGGGGTGCACCCTCCATGGAATACACCATTCTTTGGTCATATCTGGTTTGGGAGTAATACTCTCTTTATATCAGCAGAGTAGTACACCACCTCTCACTGGGTGTCTATCTGCACCCCTAGAGACTAACAAAGACATCATCCTTGACTAGGCATGATATCCTAGACATATCAGAGGCCAACAGTAACTCTATTCAGGTTGAGTGCATTGACGCCTAACACCCCTAGAGCATAAGAGGTGTTGTCCACCGCCCAGCTCACACCTTGGGTTTTAAAAAGCAGACGCCCAACCTTAATCTTCTGCTGGACTGACAAGACACATTGTCCATAGTACTCGAAGTCTCTCCTTTTTAGTCTCATCACTTTTCAGTATTCTATCTGGTTTTTATTTCAATTCTTCTCCCTTCCGCTCTTTAGTTGTCCCCCATTTTCTTTGGTTTATCTTATTTTCCTTCTTTGTCTTTTTATTCTGATTCTCCTACCCTTTGCATCTCTTTCTTTTTCTTCCACTGTCCAATCTTGGTTTTGTTTTTTGTTTTTGGGGGGGAAAAGGGGACAAACTCAAGAGACCTTGTTTTTGCTATGTGCCTTTGAGTCTCTTGCAATTCATAGCAACCCTACATGTAACATCCCTAAACCCTGCTCTATCCTGTGCCAATCTCACGGTCTCTGACAGACCTACTCCATTATCCCAGTCACTGAAACAATCTATCTCGTCAATAGAGCCCAGCCTCCCAGATAATCTATTCTGCATATAGATTGAAAAGGTATGGAGACTGGACACATCCTGGGCATACACCCTTCCCAATTCTGAACAGTGCAGTGTTTCCTTGCTCTATTCTGACAATTGCCTCCTGGTCCAAGTATAAGCTTTGCACAAGCACAATCAAGTCTTCTGGGATTCCATTCTTCTCAGACTCAGCCACAGTTTGTTGTCATTCACACAGTCAAATGCAAGAGCCCTCATCTATGGCATAAACAGACTATAAACTACAACTGAAAAAAAGACAATCAACAGAGCATACATCAGCTAACTGAGACCTCAGAAAAACTCCAAAATAGTAAAAAAGGTAATCTCAAGACTAGGGAAAAAAACATTCAGCAATGACAGAGATGAAAAATAATACATGTCTAAAATGTATAGAAAACACCAACACTTCAACAAGGTAAAAGACAAAAAACCCAGCAACAGAATAGGTAGAGGGCATAAACAGTTCACAAAAGACAACATCCAGTTTACCAATAAATGAATGAAGAAATGCTCAAAATCATTAGCTATTAGAGAGATACAAATCAAAACAACAGTGAGGTACCATCTCACCCCAGCAACATGGGCAACATGTAATAGGACAGTAACAAACACAGAAGGGTATACAGATATTGGAACTCTCTTACAATGCTGGTGGGAAGGTAAAATGATGCAAGTGCCACAGAACTAGTGCTGGACATACTATCTGATGCAACAATACCACTAACAATATCCTAAGAAAAGAGGAGCTAAGACAAAACTGATATATGCACATTCATGTTTACTATAGCATTATTTGAATTATCATTATTCCTCAAAACACTCAAACTCAATGCTGTCACGATGTTGGTTCTGACTTGTGGTAACTATTGAGGTTCTGAGGTTGTAAACTCTAACAGAAGGAGACTGTCTACCTGTGTCTTAAGAATGATTCCATTTTTTAAAATCTGGCTTCAAAATGGGAATGATCCAGCATGAAAAAGAAAGTATATGAACTTTGTAAATAAGCCAGTATTTAAAAAAACCACAAAAACCCCCATACACAACAAACCTGGCATCAATGACATAAAAATTACTAAAAGTTTTTAATCTAAAGAAATCAAAATGGTAATCATAGTAATATGAAACCTTCTCTAAATGAATGGTTTTTGTGTTTTACTCCTAAAAGAAGCAAAGATAAAAACCTGTGGGTTCAATTTTTCAATGTACTCTATATTATGGATTGAATTATATTTCCCCGAAAATATGTACTATTAATCCTAACTCCTACATACGTAGATATAGTCCTATCTGAAAACAGAGATCTTCTCTTTCTTCTGTTAAAAAAGCTCTATCAATGTACAGTTTTTTTAATTTGAGTAATATTAAAAGTGATTGTTTTTTCATTCAATCATTCATATATATTTTGTTATAACATTAGTTACAGGTTATTAATGTAACTACTGAACTGCACTATCTGAGCAATCACTTATCTATGCCTTATAATACCTTTCTCTTCACCTAACTTATCTATTTCGTTTTACTCCTCTCCCCCTTCCATTTTATCCATGGTAGCCATTCAATAATGATTCCATCTGTGTGTGAACTTAGCTTTTTATAAAAGTAGTCATATATGAGATGCATATATGATATTCACAATTACTTGCTATGCATCAGAGAGCTAGACAATGACTAAGGATGACAGAAGAAGAATTAATGCCTTTGAGTTGTGGTGAGGGAGAAGAGACTTGAATATACCACAGACTACCAAGAAAATAGGTCTGTCTTGGGAAAGGGTGAAACCAAGTTTCTCTTCAGAGGCTAGGGTTTTGAAGCTCTGTTTCACATACTTTGGGCATGTGGCCAGGAGGGACTGATCCCTGGAGAAAGACATCATGCTCGGAAAGATTGAGGGGCAGCACAGGAGAGGAAGACCCTGGATAAGATGGATTGATACAGTAACTAGGGCAATGGCAGTGGGTGAGTCAGAGTCAATGAGGCTGGCTCAAGACAGGGAAGGCTTCAGAGATGTCGTACACAGGGTCAGGTCTCAAGTGACTCAACAGCACATAACAACAATACATATGAAATTATATATGTATTTACATATAGGTAAACAGCGAGGTCTGGCGGCCTCCTCGTAAGGAGCTGAGCTGCATTCCCAAAGGCACGCAGTTTGAATCCACAGCTGCTCCATGGGAGAATGATGGACAATCTCCTCCTGTGTGATTTACTGTTTCTGAAAACCTGCTGGAGGGTCAGCTATAGATCAGTTCCAACTCAACTGTACACATCAACACCACCAGCCTTATAACTGTCCTTTTGTGACAGACTTATTTCACTTATAATTTCCTGCAAATACATCCATATTATGCAACATTTTCATGAATTCTTTACTGTAGTGCTGCACAGTACTCTACTATATGAATGTTCCATAGTTTCTTTTCCCATTCGCCCACTGAGAGCCAATAACTTCTGTTACACAAAAAGAGCATTGATTACAGGTAGACACAAAAGCAAGCAAACACAAACTGGTTTTGTGTAATCTTCAAGGAACTGAAAAAGAAAAGCTGAAAGAGAAAGGGTATCCCTGTAAGAGTGGCAAAGAGCACATTCCTCTAAAGCCAATGCCCTGAATTCAGACTCCTAATGTTCTAAAACGTGAGAAAATTTGTTTGTTAAAACTACCCATTGTGATATTTGTTATAGCAATAGTAAGAATGTTAACACAGTTCATAAGCAACCTCCAATATATGAAATGTGCTAAAAAAAAAACTCACCATTTGTACAACAGCCTCTCTTAATCTTGTCTCTTCTTCAGTCATGACAATCAATTCTTTGCAGACCATGGCAGCCAGTCCCACATCTAAACACTCCGGATCTGCTGCCATCTTGAAAATTAGTTCCTCATGTGAAAAGACACAATGGCGTCTAAGCCTACGATAATGATTTACACACTGACGTCCAAGGGGCAACTGAAAACAAGAGGATTTCCAAATTAAGTTACCTGCTTATGAGATATTCTAAAACAGAAATGGTATTTATCCTCAGTATTTTCCCTTTTATTATACAGAAGTAGAGTATCAAATCCCATTTGAATATTAGAGACAATTGTAAACAGCTCTTTATGGCCTATCAAAAACTGCAATGGTCTTCCCACAAAAAAACCACCATTATCTGAATTGTTGAGCTGTTGATTTTCTATTCACTATGTACATCAAGAAACAGAAGCTCTTTGGTACAAAAGTGATGAAGCAAACTGTTTTATATTAGACTAATATGAGGATGTCTATGTACGAACAGTGCTCAGGCCGTTCGTTCATAGGGTCGCTATGAGTTGTCTACAACTCGACGGCATCAAACAACAACAAACAACAGTATGAGGATGACCCTTCAGGAAAATGGAGAAATGAAGAAACAAACAAAAATTCCCTCATATCATAAAAGGTTAAGAAGAATTTTTCAGAATTCACATTTACACAGAACAAAAAGAAAATGTTATTAATGGGTGAAAAGCACTACTTAATAAGCAATCCACATTAGTTTCACATTTAAAAAATGACAAAATGAATACCTATATTCTTTAAGGTAAAGTCTATCAATACTTTCTACAACTATTAAGTTTTAAGCTAAATTATACTAGTTATACTATAATCCACATAAATACTTACACAAACATACACATACAAATGCACTCTCTTAACTGTTAAATGGGGGAAAACTTAAAAAGAGTTTCATTTGAATTTGTAAGTTATAAGTCCTTTTAGAATTCACCACTATTTTAAGAAAGACTAAGTGCATCCAGTGGGATCAGTTTTAGGGTATAAAACTACTTCTGAATTACAGTAGGAAACTTTTTACAAGGGGAGATGGGTGGATAGATAGATAGATAGATAGATAGATATAGATATATAGAGATATATCTATAAAATGCATCACTAATGATCATCTTGACATTAACAAGAGATAAAATGCTTCCAATCCCTAATTCATAAATATTTACCTTTAAAATAAGTGTCACAAAGCCTCAATACAGTAGCGATCATAAGAAAAATGCCAACTGCAGGATTTGAAATGGAACTCATTCACTGTGTCTTACAAAAGAATAGTCCCATGACTTTATTCAAAGAGAAAGGTGCTATAACTTTTTCATTTAAAATATTTCAACATACTTTTAAAAAGTACCAAGGGCTCTCACATATACCATCTCATTTATATTAGGTTATAAAGTAAATCTATTAGTATTTTCATGTATTAGGCAAAAAATAAAGCGTAATAAAACGGAAATAGCTGCCCAAGCTCAATCAGCAAGTTCAGTTATACCTTAATAGCACTAACCATCTCTAACTCACTTATGAATCATTCCCATTCCCTACTTTAAACCAAACCATGTACTATGTAAATCAAACAGTCAATAAATTTTAGTTGAATTTTTTGAAAACAGACCTCAAATCCAAAGTAAAGTCTTAAGTTCCACTTTGTTCTCGCTAAGTTACACCATTCCTAGGCCTAACAAGGACAACTTTAAAATTACTAGAGTAACACAACTACTCATTGTATAATTTCATTAACTGACCAAAGAAACAAAATAATCTCTGGATGTCTAATTATGAAATTTAATGTATTAAAGAGGCCACAGAAAACAAAAGTTTTGGTATTGGTAAACGATTTCTCCCCAACTGCTAAGAGAAGTAACAAAAACCAGTATTACTAAAAGAAAAATAAAGCTAAAGAGTGGATTATAAACATGTATTCTTTCTCCAATCAACTTTATGTGTATGACCACTTCCTTTTTAGTATCTACCTTAAATAAAGGCAAACCAAGAGTCACTAGCATTAGTATAATTTAAACCACAGAGATCTCAATATTATGTTCTTTAAAGGTTTCAAAAGAAAGAGGGAGAAAAATCACAGGAAGAATAAAATCATCTAATTGTTTATTAGACAGAACAAACATAGAAAAATACTTAAAAGTCATTTTAAAATAAAAATGAGAGACATGTATTTGAAAATGTGGTCAAGTTAGTAGTTGAAATGATCTAAGTCTAGTTATCTTTTCAGGATCCAAAAATGTTAAGAGATGATGAACACTTCACTCTCTCAGAAAAGAAAAGATACCATGGCAAGAAGGTGCACTGCAATCCCAGAGGAACACGGTTAGAATCCACCAGATGCTCTGCTGGGGAAGGAGGGGCAGTCTCCTCCAGTACCAGTCAGATCTGATGTGACGGTACACACACAAAAAATAATAAAATAAAAAATTAAAAAAAAGAAAAGATACCAAAAATATTAACTGTCCATTCACACAGAACAGGAAGAACAATTATGGGTGATAAGTAAGGAACTATAAACTCCTCCAAATAAATACTATGATGAAATTGCTATGTGAACTTTCTAAAATAAAAACATTATTCCTGTCTCCCTCGAGATATTCACGAATCCTAACCTGAGCCCAACTAAGCAAACATGGCAACTAAGCTCCAATACACAGTGGTGTTAGTGGACATACAACAAACAGCCACTTGAAATAGAACAGACCCAGTCAGCAGTACAGAAGTTCACAGCTTCAGCGAAGTTGTAGCCCTGGTTAAATCCAGAGTGGTAGGCACGAGGAAATGTCACAACAAACTCGCCAGCACATTGATTGGTCCTGTACACCTAAATGCAAATTTGGAACAGGGATACAAAATAACAAAGAAAAATAAAAACAACAAAAAGAGGGAGATGGTCTTCATGAGTCAGCTAGTTTCAAAGAAACTTCCTAACATTTAAAAAGATAAAGCATTAAGCTATAAATACCAAGAAAATAATACCAGGATTTAAGAAGGAACCAGAACGTAATCCTTTTAAAATTCATTGATAATAATTATAGTAATTAATGATCAGAATTAGTAGCCGAAATATATTCTCAAAAAGAGAATGTTACTGTTATAAAGCTATCAGTTTCGTAACTTCATAAAATGTTTACTATTAAGAGCTATTTCCTTTGCTTCCTACGCTATACAGACTATTCTACTTTTAGATAACTTTGAATAATTTTTTAAACTAACATAATCAGCTTTTTATAGAGTTATCTCCCGCGTATGTGTTATTCTGACTCTGTTTTATGATAATATCTTTTATATTAGCAATCTGAATATACTAGCACAGAACTGGGTAATGTTTTATTCTGTTATACATATAGTAGTCTTACATAGTAGCCAACTCTAAAACGAACTAAAAGTATCTCCTAAAAGGTCCTAGATTACATAGAGAGCTCTGATGGCTTAGTGGTAAAGAACTGTACTATTAACTCAAGTGAAAGTGGTTCTAATGCACCAAGTGTTCCACAGGAAAAAGAATAGGAAGTATCTTCCCATGTTATTTACTGGCCCTGACAACCAACTAGGAGTTGGCTCTGACTGGATGGTACATAACAACAAGCTGTATATATTCATTCTTTAAAGACAAAGTCTTGTACTTTTACTCCATCTTTTCCCTCTCTGCCTCCCCCCGCCCCCATTAGGTGAATATAAACATTTGGCTGGAGCAAGCTTATTAAATCACTTACTCACATTCACTGCCCTGGAGGTGGAACATACTCATAGCTGACCCTCCAGGAAGTTTTAAGAGTCTAAAATCACACGGGAAGAGACTGCCTATCTTTCTTCCAGTGGATTCAAATCATGTGCCTTTGGGTTCGCAGCTCAATTTACTATCCACTTCCTAATCAGCTATTAGTTGTTTACACAGAAAATAATTTTCAAAACTAAACTGAAATGAAAAAAGGTGTTCAAGTTATTTTTACTTCAATGTCTTATATATTACAGACTATAAAATCTTTATATGATCACTATAAGAAAAAAAGTACCACTTAATATATTTACATTTTAGACATAAATGAATAACAGAATATGAGATTTCTGTTAAAACCAAGATGTAATGCATTATTTAAAACAGGAGATTAATAAGAACTGTTTGAAAATGAAGATTTCTACTTTTAATAACATCTCTTCTTAACCAGATAAAACGGTTCCCTTCAGAGTATAAGCTCTAATTTAACCTTTCATCACAAAACAAAGCATATGTTACAATTCTATCTAGTCAAAAACTAAACTCTGAAATTAAAAATCCTAAAGGGAGACACAAAAAGACTCACAGGCACACCATGTTCCATAAGCACATTGGGGTTCATGATGGTAACCAACTGATGTAGGAGATCAGGCTGGGATTCAAATAACTCAGGAGCCAGCTCCCTCATCACCTCCTCCAGCTGTTCGGCAGCATGAGATGGTACACCATACCATGTCTTTGGCTCCCCCCTAGCAAAAGAAAGAACTATTTAGCTAGGCAGGCCATGACATTAACAAAACTGAATTGCTTCAAACTCAGTAACCTACAATTAATTTTCATTTTGTTCCATGGACACAGATGAAATTCTTTAAATCCTGTAAACAGGCAAGGCAAACATAATATGGATAAGTAGATACAAATACTACCAAAACTAGAAAGGCAACTAAAAGCACATGAAGTCTTTAGGGCAGATCGGTAATTACAGACTGAATTATGCCTCCAAATAATATGCCTTGTAAATTTTAACCTCTGTGTCTGTGGTTATATACCATTTGGGAATAGCTATCTTGGTTATATTTATAAATATTATAAATGCTGCTAGTAATGTTGATGTTAAATACATATTTAGTGAGGTTTTTAAAAAATATGACTGGGCAATAGAGGAAAGATGATGTTTTTTATGAAGTAACAAAGAAAATAACTGAATCATGTTCAAATGTTTGTTGGAAGACAGAATTTGTAACTGATGATCCTGGATATCAAGCTGCTGAAGATTTCGAAGCAAGATCTTAAGTAGCTACGTGGTTTCTCTTTGTGCTTACAGTAAAACTCAAGAGAAAAGAGACTCACATTATACAAAATAAAAACAAAACTTTAAGATTTAGAAACTGCTATCATACAAACAGACATATCATAGACTGTTCACCAATTCTGTGGGTTACACAATCTTTTGTGGTTACACAAGCCTTGTGGCTCTAACCAGCTACCAGAGCAGAAAACCCACCAGCTTAAACTGAAGGTAAAAGAAACAAGACAAAAGGAGAGAAAAGTTGTCTTTGGAAATTCTACTAGCCTACAACATGTCACAGCAAGTATTTTATTGTCCTCCAAGAAAAGAAAGTAACATCACCAGAGCAGAACACAACAAAAACTGATAAAAGGATCATGAGAAGCAGTGCTTTCTTAATTTCAAAGGGTGGAACCTCAGCCTCTAAGGTTTCAAAGAGCAGGAGCTTCACCAGCAATTGAGGTGTGTGAAACAAGGCCCCAGAAATTGATGGAATACCAACTGATATATTTTAGCAAACAGATGCTGCCCTAGACATGCTCACCAGACTGTACCAAGAAATCTGGAGGACACATAGACAACAGACAGGAAAAGATCCATATTTATTCCCATTCCAAAAATAGGTTACCCAACATAGCGTGAAAAATATCAAACAGTATCACTAATATCACACACAAGCGAAATCTTGCTGAAAATTATCCAAAAACTGGAACAAAACATTGACAGAGAACTACCAGAAATACAAGCTGGGTTTAGAAGAGGCAACGGTATTAGGGCTATCATTGCCAATGTCAGATCAGTACTAGGGCTATCATTGCCAATGTCAGATAGATCGTGGCTGAAAGCAGAAAGTACCAGAGAATCTCTTATCTCTGTTTCAGTGACTAGGCAAAAGCATTTGACTGTGGATAACAAGAAATTGTGGCTAACCTTGGGAAGAACGGGAATCCAAAACACCTGCTTGTGCTTATGTGAAACCTCAGAGCAGAGCAAGGAAACACTGCATGGTTTAAAATCAGGAAATGAATGTGTCAGGAAGGCTTACTGTCTCCATAACTTTTCAAACTATATGCACAACAGATTCGAGAGGCTGGACTTTATCAGGAGGAATGGAGCATCAGGATCAAAGGAAAAGTAAAAAACCTGAGTCATGCAGATGACACACCTTGCTTGCTGAAACTGAGGAGGACCTGATGCATCTGTTTCAGAAGGTCAAACACTGCTCTTTTCAATATAAAGACTTGAAGCTCAACATCAAGAAGAAAAAGATTTTTACCAATTATTGGCAGGACCATGACAGATGGAGAAAAGATTGAGTCTGTTAACAACTGTGGCTTGCTTGGTTCCACAATCAACACTCTTGGCACCAGCAGTCAGGAAATCAAAAGACAAACTGCATTTGTGCATAGGGTTGATAGGAGTTGCAGCTGACTCGATGTCACCTAACACCACAAAACAACATAAGGTGGGGCTGCCAGGCTCATGAGGCAGAAAAATGGAGGCCTGACAGGGCTATAGGTGTAGGGTCACCTCTCATATGGACTAGATCCTGAATAGGGTCATCCAAAGGCAGCAAAGCAGAGTTGCCATTTCAATGGGTTCGAAGATAAAGCTAAAGCACAAAGCTGAGAAAATCCACCCAGAATCCAGAAGGCGTTGCCAATACTCAGAGTTTAGAAGGCCGAGATGGTCTCAGAGAACAGAGGATTCTCTTCAAGCTTTGAGAGCTACAGCAATTTTCTCTGCTGGTTTTTTCATTTCCCACCACTTTTTTCCATTTGAAACAAACTATCTACCTTTTGCTTGTTCTACTATCATACTCTAGAAGCAAGTAAATTGCATTACAGATTTCACAGATAAAGAGGAAATGTGCACCAGGACAGAATATATCTAAATTCTCATTCCAATTTGATTTAAATGCTTCAGAAGAGTTAGAGTTGGAGATGACTTAAAAGACTTTTGCAATCAGGCAGTGGAATGATTGTGCTTTATGTGTGGTATAGTCACAAAGTTTTGGGTAAAGAGGGTGGAATGTGAAAGAATGAATTATATCCCCTCAAAATAAATAGCCACAAATTCTAACTATTATGTCTGCAGTTATAACCCTACTTGGGAATGAACTGTTAAATTATTCATGAGGTAGAACTGGTAAAAGAATTTCTTTTTAATCAATCTCTTTTGAGATATAAAAGAGATTAAACAAGAAAGTAAACAGAGATGGAGGAAAAGAGATGAAAAACCACATAAAGATCAACAAGGAACTGAAGCAGCATCGAGAGACAAGGACTTTTCTCCAAAACCAAGAGAGAAAGAAAATCTTCCGTAAGAGCCATTATCCTCGAATTCAGACTTGGGAAAATACATTTATTAAAACTACCTACTTACAGTGTTTTTGTTACAGCAGCACTAGGTCACTAAATAATCTTTAGCAGAAAAAGATATATGAAAAGCAAGAATTGCTGCAAGGATACTGACAGCCACTTTAGCTTGAATCACACACAGAAATTTAAAACTTTCCAATTATTTCATAAAAGTCAATGATCTCGAGGATATTTTTCAATTAACTTCACAATGATAATTCTAATATCCAAAGAAATAACCCAATGCTAGAAACTGCTGAATATAATTTCCTCTATTAACCTTAAAAGGAATGCTACTGGCACAGCAGGTGGGTGTTCAAATACTAACCAAAAGGAGAGTGATTCAAATCTCTTAGCCACTTTATGGGAGAAAGATGGGGCACAGAGTCTGTAAAGTCTTTACAATTGTAAGGTGACTATGAATCAGAATCAACTCAGTGACAATGGGTTTGGTTTATAAAACTCAAATATGAAAAATAAACACTCAAACTCATTGCTACTGAGTAGGAATCACCTTCCAGCTGAACTTTCAGGTGGTTTTTTGAGGCTGTAGATCACATGGGAGGAGACTGGCCACCTTGTTTCAAAGTGCCAGAGAGGAGCGCGAGGGCGACGCAGCGCGAGGGCGACGCCGCCAGACCGGGGAATGCAGGGGGAACGCACGCTGCTGCCCGCCCGCC